TTAGGCTATATTCTTTATACTCACTTGATAAGCAGTTATATAGTTTGGGTGCCCAGTACGAGAAACTGCGTGTGAACAATGCTGTCGAATGCCGCGGAATAAGTAAGATGAGTTTATTCCTAGAGGATCTTCGATCGTACTGGCAGAGGAGGCTTAGTTTTGTATAAAGATAATATGGCGCTTTAAGAATAAGGGTCTTATGTACCAGAGATAGGCAATGCAGTTTCCTCAATTTGTTCATCTTAAGCCATCCCGATTGGCCAAAAGCGCTACTAATATGATCAAATTTACGGATTCCATAAGGAAATCTGATGCATGAGTTTTGCTATTATAACAGTTATAGACAGAAAGATTTGCTTTTGTTCAGTTTACTCTATTGTTTGCAATCTATCATTTTTGGCAGCTGCCTGGAATACTGGAATTGTATGGCACCCACGCACTTTTATATGTTTTCGCATACGAATTTAATAAATGACAACACCTGTCAAACTGGTGGCATAAGCCGGATCGAATTTAAGGGTACTATAAAAGTTTTGCAATATGACTTAAAAAAAGGAAGCAGAAGTCTGTTGATTCAGTTGTTCATTCGTTCTACGGGATAACTTTACGCGTGGTTTAAGCATAGATCAGTGCTAAGAAGAAATGACGCTTTCATTAAAACTCAGATATGCCCAGCGTACAATTTATGGTACACCGTAAACAAGTCACGACTTGCAACGACCTGTGCATCTGCTGAGATAAACATACCTCATGAAAAATTTAGCATATCTTCATCTGATTCCGAAGATAATATTCCATTGTCTGAATTGGCTAAAAAAGTAAAAAAATAAAAAGCTAAAGAAATGAAAAACGTACAAATAGGTGAAGGAGGATCTACCACAAGAGGTTCCAGGAAACTTCGAAGGAGTTCTTGAACAAAATAATTCTTCTAAGACTCCACTTGAATGGTTTTCACTTTTTTTTGACAGCGAACTTATAACACGCATAACAACTGAAACAAATAGATATGCCAGGCAAAAGAATCGCCAACAAGAGGTGCAAGAGTATGAAATAAGAGCATTTATTGGAGCACTAATATTGAGTGGTTATGTCGATGTACCACGTAGAAGAATGTTCTGGGATCGTGAAAGAGATGCTAATAATCAACTCGTCACAGAAGCGCTTATACGAGATACATTTGAGTATATTATGTCAAATTTCCATTTAGCAGATAACTACAATTTACAGCAAGGAGATAAGTTTACAAAAGTTAGATCTTTATTTGCGAGCCTGAATCAAAAATTTATGGAACATGGAATTTTGACAGAAATGCATAGTGTAGATGAGGCAATGGGTCCTTATTTTGGGAGACACTCATGCAAACAGTTCATTCACGGAAAACCTATACGATACGGCTATAAATTATGGGTTGGCGCATCATGACTAGGATACGTTTACTGGGTTGAACCTTACCAAGGGTCGTCAACCAACATTAGTAAGAATTATGCATATTTGGGGATTGGTGCTGGTGTGGTATTAGAGTATTCTGATGCACTGAGGAGAAAATGGCCAAATGAAAAATTTCATTTAGTTTTCGACAATTTTTTCACTTCTCTCCCTATTATGGTAAAATTGACAGAAAACAGGGAAAAAAGAGGTAGTTACGATTACAACAAAATCTCCGATACAAGCATAATTGTAGTAAAATGGCATGACAATAATTTAGTAACACTCTGTTGAAATGCCGCAGGATTGCAACCAATTGGCTTTGTAAAGCTATACTCTTAAAAGGATAAAAAAAAATCAATGTTTTCAAAAATGCATTTGATTTTAGGTAGAACAGCATCATCTTGTAAATGTATACAACGCAAATATGGGCGGCGTTGATCGTGGTGATCAAAATATTGGTCTGTATCGCATTTCCATCCGGGATAAAAAGTGGTATTTTTCATTGATCAGCCACTGTATTGATATGGCTGTTCATAATTCCTGGCAACTTTATAGATCGCACGGAGGACATATGGATCAATTATTATTTAGACGGCGGCTTGCCACAGCCTTGTTACAACAAAACAAGAAACCGCCATCTTTTTCTAGAGGACGTCCTCCGGCTAATGAATATATAGATATTCGATATGATCGTTTAGATCATTTTGTGATACCACAAGAAAAGCCAACTAGATGTAGCTTATGTCATCATAGAGCAAATACAAGGTGCTGTAAGTGCAATGTAGGGATGCATGTAAAATGTTTTTTGTCCTTCCATACTAAACCTTAATGTTCGCCTATGTGCCTAGTGTACCATATTTTGTACGGCATTTGTTTACACTTTTTCCTATACTAAAATTTAAAAAATAATAAATTTGTTTGATATATGCTTCGTATAGAATGAATTTGCAGAGAACATACTTCATTATAATTTATTTGAGCTGAAGGCATATCTGGGTTAAAGAATGATTATCCTCGGTACGACCATTCCCATCCTGGCTCTATGCGATTTGCCACACAGAGCGTCAACGTAGCAGCTTCCGGCCCATTTTATAAGCTATTTAGCTAGCCTTTATACCGTCGAATCCCTAAAATATCAATCAGTGTATAAATAGCGATCATAAACCAGCGATCGGGCGCATTATCTCTTTTCCATTAGAGTTACACGTTCGCTGGTACGATTGAATTTTCATTGTGCTCAACCTCCATTTTGTATCCTGTTTTCATTAGTGCGGGCCGCAGTGATGGCGTACACTTATTCACCACAGGCTTTTGTTCGCTTGGGAAACTTCCCATATATTCCATAAACAACGTTAAAAAGTGAACATTCACAAAAGCACCAGTCGTTCTGCCGCGTTTGATGGTGCTGCGGCTTATAGCACAGGAATCTCATGCTGAAAAGGAGACACTTTGTACACTCCCACGTCCCTCAATATGCTACTTGTCTCATATCTAATTTCATCGAGTAAATAAGTATTTCTTATTTTTTCTTTTGTTTCATTTTTGAAAAGCGCAGATTTTTATTTTAAACGGTGAAAACGCTTATGTCTATGAAGTGACGTCATACAAATTGTAAACAAAGGAACGTCATCGGTATGTCATTCGTGAACTACCATTGCCTTCTTTAAGTATTTCTTCAACACTCCTAATCAACGTAAAAAGTTATAATTTTCTCATTTTTTTGAAAGTGATACAATTCAATAATGTTTCTTTTTTGAAGTCATTCAAAGTTAAGCTCATGAGTTAAGACCTCAGAATAAAATTATCTAATATAACATCAAAGTGATATTCGAAAAAATAAATTGATGAGTTACAGTTGCAAAAGATTCAGGATCGCTTAGCCAGGTGTTGGGTATATTTATTTCTCTGACCACAGCTTTCCTGGGTCTTTATCGACATATTTTCACACTCTCGAACGTAATTACTGTATTTTCTATGTAAACTCGTATTTATATGTTTAAAAGCTTCAGCTGCTGTTTACAATAGTATGACATGTTATTAAGTCTAAGACAAATATATCTTCAAATTAGGGTTTTAAGGATTTTAAGTCGCAAAGAATATATCGTTGAATTTCTTGATTTAATGGAAGAAACATTAACTATTCAAGACCTACTCAAAGAAAGAGCCAACTAGCCTATCAATGGTACTTCCAAGATTTATTGGAATATGGTAGAGTGAGATACGTTTTTGGGTTAGTTTGACTATAGGTCTAATAGCAGGGGCGGCTGGCTCTTAAGCTGCAGAACTGCCAAAACTTTTGTCTTAACAGAAAAAAGCAGTAGTAATTTGACCATTATACATACATATTTGAAGAAAAAGTGAGCTGGAGGTGTCAGGTCGACCGCTGCCGGACATATTTATAGAAACGCAGGGCGTTAGTCGCGGCAAGGGGTATACGCGGCATTTCAGCAGGGAGATTTAAACCAGAAACGACCGGAATTGTGGGTGCAACAGGAAGAATGCCCTTTTCTGCCACCTTGCATACTTTTCGGCGGTGAGAATGCTTGGACGGAGGTTGGTGTTACAGATTTAGTGCGCCTGAGTGAAAAAATTATGAAGCATGAAAACTCTAAAACACATCTTCATAATTCGATGGAATTGGCTTTATTGGGGACTGTTAATGATACCGTTACAAGAAACAGGTACGTCCTATCAAAAATAATCGATTGTATAAAATTTTGCATTTGAATTGGCGCTACGGGGCCACAACGAAACCGAGAGCTCCCAAAACCTGGGAATATTTCGTGGACTGATTAATTTTTCTGCTGAGCTTGATACAACCTTAAGCGAACACATAAAAAATGCTTCAATATTTAAGGGAACTTCGAAAGAAATACAAAACGATCTACTGGATTGTGTTCTTGAAGTTTGTCATGAAGAAATAATAAAACAGACTAACAGAGTCTCGTATTTGGCGATAATAGCAGATGAAACAACGGACATTTCGGGGAAAACCCAACTGGTAACAATTTTCAGATACGTATTTAACGGCGAACCAGTAGAACGTTTTTGGAATTATATGAATCCCGAAAAACGTGCAGCTGATACTCTCACAAGACATATTTTGAGCGTCGTAGATCCATTAATAATTCCCCTAACAAACTGAATTCACAAAGCTATGATGGAGCCGCGGTAATGAGCGTACATAATGCTGGAGTACAGGCAAAAATTAAACAAAGATATCCATGTGCATTGCTATGCGCATCAGTTAAACCTGATTATATCCCAAGCTTCTTCCGCAAATAATCAAGTTCGGATGTTCTTTGGGGATTTGAAAGATATTCCGAGATTTTTTAATAATTCTCCTCAATGCGTAGAGGTACTGAATATAATTGTGTGGAAAAAAATTCCCCAATGAGCAACAACTCGTTGGAATTTTAATATTAGAACAATAAATGTAGTGTTTGAGAACAGAAAATCACTCATGGAAGAAATAGAAGAAAATTTCACTAATGAAACCGTTTGCAAGGCAGCTTGCGATACTCGCCGTATGTTAAACAATTCTGTTTTCGTGTTTTGGTTGACATTTTTTCATGCCTCACGTCGACATTTTGTTCAGCCAGTTGCAGCAGAGAAAAACCGAGCCAGCGCAAGTTAAAACGGCGATCGATAATTTTGAAAAATGTATTGTCGATGTGAGAAATGAAATTGATGACAAAATAAATGAAGCAAAAAGAATTTGCACTGAACCCCAAGGCAACAAAAGGAGACGACGTAATAATAGCAATCACGATCACCGAGTTGCTGCATTAGAAGTATGCGACAATATAGTGAATTCTGCAAATGACAGATTTCAATTCAAAGATCATTTGGTAGCCGCATCCCTTTTTTTCCCGAACACTTTGGAGAATACTGTGGTAAGTTTCCTGATGACAAGTTGGAAACTACCTGCTTGGCTTATCCCGAATTAGAAAAAAGTCGTTTAAAGACAGAGTTGTCTGTTATTTATGCACGGAATGATTGCCGAGATTTACATGGAACTCTGTCTCTTTTGAAAGTTTTGATACAAAAAAAAAATAAAAGAAACAAAAAAGCTATTAGAAATTATTGTTACAACTCCTATGTCAACATCAGAGGCTGAGCGAAATTTCTCAACAGTGAAAAGGATCAAGACCTTTCGTCGAAATACTTGACTCAGGTTCGCCTTACAGCGTTGTCGATGCTGTCCATTGAAAAGGAATTTATTTCGGCCATGGAAAATTTCAACGGGAAGGTGATCGACAAATTTGCTGCCGAGAAGGAGCGCAGGATCGAACTGACATATAAAAGATAGGTAAGTTGGGATTTGCAGAACTCCTGTCTTATTTTGCCATGAGCCGCCACTATCTAATAGGAAGCAAAACTCTCGAATAATGACGAATTGTCATATTTCCCCAGCCTTAGGGTATTATGGCGTAGGACATTGGGAAATAACATGTGATTTTCATAAGAATCGGTTTAATTATTAAAAAAAACATAGACAAATATATTTTTAATAAAATGCTCTTTAACACATTGACTGCGAACTGGGATGAGGATACCCACCTCAGAAACTGAAATACTTTTTTTTAAGCCGGCAGAGAGCGTTGAAAGACGCCGTTCGCCTTCCACCACAGGAGCGTCTTTTGACGCTGTTCGCACTGAACGTGTTAACATATCGCTATGGTTTCAAAGAGAAAATCCGTTTTGTGACTTTTCTACACATTTAACTCCACAGTCCACAAAATGAAAAAGCGGTGTGTGCTTGCGGTTTCACTATTTTTTCCATTCGCTTTTCTACACTCAACGTGAATCTGAAGTCAAAATTGGGGGTCGTTGGAGAAATAGGAAAGTAATTGGGGCATCGACACATTTTATCATTTTTGGTGAATGCGCATCTCGTTGGATGTATATCAGCGATGCACATCCACTCAAACTACCAATATTTTTGTAATCTTTGAATTACTTTCATATTTCTCCATCCTCCCCCAGTGTTGACTGCAAATTCGTGTTCATACGGAAAAAAATAATAAAAAATATATTGAAACATGCATTACTTTTTATTTTTTTCTGTAACTGCGGATCGTTTCCTCTAAAATTTGTCATCCGGCCCATTCTGACCTCAAATTCGTGCTTAGCGTGTAAGGTATGTGGGAAAAATATAGTCAGACATGTGTTATGTTTAAAAACAAATATATTTTTAATAAAATGCCCTTTAACATATCGCTAAATAAACAAACCTAATCTGAAACCAAAGATAACCTGAAATAAGTTGAAACATATTAAATAAATAACAAAAATATTCCTAAACTAAAATAAAAAATAAATGTTCAATTGTTCCATTTAATATCGTTTGCCAGCTGTTGAAGTGGGATACAATCCTTGCAGAATAAATCAGATCTTGTGCAGATTTCATGGACATTGTACATTGTATCCAATGACATTTGGGATCCTTTTTGTCAAAATAATATCCACCGCTTTCTGCACAAATATCGGAACGGTCTACTTCTATTTCTGATTCACCACCTTCCTGTATAACCGCTTCGCCTTCGGGTGAACTATAATAATCAAATCGGGCACTTCTACGACTTTTCCCTTTGGCAAGCTTCTTGTTATTTTCCACATTTTCCTATTGCTTTTTTAGTTCATCCGTTTTTTTCATTCGTTGTTGGGCTTTCATCAGTTTCGGAGATATTTCTTTTACTTTGGCTTCTTTGAGTAGCAAATGACTACGCAACCGTTTTTACGAGTACAGATGTTAGCGCAAAACCCATCTTCTCCATTTTTTCGATGTATTCTACCAAGCTTCGTTCATGTTCTGGACGTAGATAACTCTTACGACCTTGTTTGCATCTCCTGATGCATTTTCCTCATTAAGGTCCTAACGGCTACAGAAAATGTTAATTAATTTGCCTTACTGAACCACGACTATCTCTAACATCTGAGATTGCATTTGACAGATCTTTTGCTGAACACATGGCCCTCAAATTTTTCTTGGTGTAATTTCGTATCATATTCTTTACTCTGAAAGTTTAAAATGTGTAAATGCCACATATTGGCATAATATGCCACATTTTGGGATAATATGCCATATTACCCCAAAGTGTGTCTTCCAGATTTTTGTAGATTGAAGCTCATGTCTGGTGAAACCTAGTTATCCTACGCGGTATAAAAAGTTAGGTTATGTACCATAAATTCATATGTCCCTACTGGGAATTGCAACAAAAGACATACAATTGCCTTCACATGGCCAAAATATTATCACAAAATAGTTTGAAGAATGCACTTACCTTGTATTTTCCTAATTATCCCCAAACACTGTTAAATACTCGTCTTTAGATGACTTTAGCGAAGAAAACATCAGAACAACATGCACTTGACGCCTACTCCGATGCATTGTATCGATTTAAAACGGAAATATTGAACTGCGGCGTATTAACCAAGGTGCTACATTACCCAACTTTAACTATCCTACTTACTTATACTTTATTCTAGGTCAGAACCTGAAGAGGTTTCATGTTTTATGAACAACCACGTTACTCATTTCGTTCGGTTTGTCGGTCATCTGTTTGGGAATCATTAGTTTCCTTACAGCTAGGAGAAGAAAGTGTTAGCACTGTTCGAAGCTAAAAAAAAAAATGCGGGATTCGGTTCAGTAGTGGCGGATTTATGAGACAAAACAAAAAAACTGCAATACCAAACTTCTGTTTGTTTTCGTATGTTATTTGAGTTTCTTGCAACATTCAAATGTAGCAGTAAACAATTTAGGCTCGGTCATGGTTTCAAAGAGAAAATATCAATCGTTTTGTGACCTTTATACACATTTAACTAGGAAATATAGTCCACAAAATGAAAAAGCGGTGTGTGCTTGCGGTTTCACTATTTTTTCCATTCACTTTTCCACACTGAACGTCAATCTGAAGTTGACATTGGGGGTCGTTGGAGAAATAAGAAAGTAATTCGGGCATTGACACATTTTTACCATTTTTGGTGAATGCGCATCTCGTTGGAGGTATCTCAGCGATGCACATCCACCAGAACTACCAATATTTTTGTAATCTCTGAATCTTTCCCTTCTGTTGACTCCAAATTCGTGTTCATACGGAAAAAAATAATGAAAAATATAGTGAAACCCCAGTACAGATCACTTTTTTTTCTGGAACTGCGGATTGTTTCCTCCAAAATTCGTCCTCCGACCCATTTTGACCTCAAATTCGTGCATAGCGTGTAAGGTATGTGGGAAAAATATAGTCAGACATGTGTTACGTTTCCGTGTTACCATTGCACCAAGTACAAGAAAACTGAGCGAAAAACAAAAAATTTCATGGTAACCCCAAACTTTGTAATTGGTAATTTTTGGACATAGTAAAAAACAATTTAGGAGCTGTCAAAACTTCAAAGAGAATAACCCTATCTTGATTTTTTACTTTTTACGGTATTGTAGTCAGTTGAGTGCTCAGTCGGAAATAATTTATAAACCTATAAAACGTATTGGAAAATGCTGATTTTCAAGTTGCGTGTATTACTGATGTTACTGAGTTTTGAAAAACTCATGTTAACGCGTAGCTAAGTAGAATGTCAGAATTGTTTTCTCGTTCTTTAATACGCCTGCTGACAATTTACCGCAGTCATCCACTTGCCCTTCAGTAAGTTTTCCGGGAATCGAGAAATAGACTAGTAATCCGGTGTATCCGGTTTAGTGCGAAATATGTTGGTCATAAATTTGACGATAATGTGTTTCATTTCGTCAGATTCCGCATCATGCGATTCGTTCACTAACATAAAAGTACGTGAATACGGAATCAGTTTATGACGTTCTTGTTTTCAGAACAGTGACCATTCCTATATCCTCCATCAACTTTAATTGGATTTAGAATACCCATCTCATAAGGTAGAACAGGATTCACAATAAAATCGCACGTCAAATGTGTCACTTTGTTTTTCAGATTACTGACGAATACATTTTGAATTGGAAGTGGATAGCCACATAACCTGACAGATTTATCTTCCTTCAAATGTACGACATGTCAACTTGGCGCTATTCAGGAAAGCATTATAGCAGCTCATTTTGAACCAAGTATGGCAAACGATGTAGAATTTAATTAATTAGCGATCAGATGTAGTGTAATTGTGTATTTATAGTATGTCTGATGCTATGTTCATAGTGCGTGTGATCTATTCGTCGGTCAGTAGGTCTGTCAAGTCTGGTTGCCCAGGTACCAGACGAAGTCAGGGAGAAAGAAAGGAAGAAGAAAGAAAGGAAGGAAGGGGAAAGGGCAAAGAGGGTGAAGTGCGCCGGTTAAAGGGATGCCTTGCTATTGTTAACTGGTATGCAGTTAATTTAAATTAGTCCAAAAATTAATTTAGGAATTTGTGTGTGGCAAAAATCGTAATTTTGATTGGATATAGAATTGCACGATTTGATTTTGATCACCGTGCGAGCCGCGGTCTTGTATGCTTGCGAACTTGCTCGACTGTGTAATCTACTGACTCACGCAACAGAGGGTTGCTGTGCGATTCCGCTTGACTATAACATAACTGCGCCTGATTGATGTATTCCCTTAGGTAAGGGATCTCGAGGTCCCTGTGAAGGGTCTCGTTGGAGACATACCATGGTGCGTTAGTGATGGTTCGCAAGGTTCTGTTCTGCAAAACCTGCAGATTACGCATACGCGTTTTGGCAAGAAAACACCATGCTGCACATGTGGGTGAGGTTCTACATAGTAAATGGTAGAGTTGCCGAAACGTAATTTGGAATTCAGTTTTTAACGCTTCAGTGTGATGTCCTTCGGATTTATATGTTTTGTTATTATAGTCAGCTTCTTTTTTGTGCCTAAAAAGTACTATTTTATACTTATCGGTGCTACGCATTATTCCTTCATTTACTTCCTGTTTGTTA